ACAGCATCTGGCGAAGCACCTGGCATATGGGAGGTACTCAGCCAAGGTGTGTATTGATGAACAAAGGGATCCTGTTGTGAATCCTTTCAAAAGTGCAGTGAGCTTTGGTAATGGGAAGTACTGACTCCCTAATGTAATTTACTAAGGACAGGGATCCCTGGAATGAGTGAACTAAGGGACACTTGCGACCCTCTTCTTGAATCTGCCCACTGAGGTTAAGTGTAATTTCCAATCAGAGCACTTAGAAGGAGGAAGAGAGAGCATGTTTAGGAGTAGGGGATCTGGTAGGCTCCCCAAAACCACAAGTGCGTGCACACACATGTTTGTATATACATGTCCACCTAAGAAAGAAATAGGCTCCTTGCTAACACTCCCAGCTCCTAGCCTTCTGCCCATGAGCTTCCCCAGTATATTGTGAAGGTATCACAAAAGATGATCAGTACTGCTTGCCAAGCTCCTTGGCTTGAACAGGCCCTGTCCAAGAGACACATAGATTATCCTGCTTCTCTGGGACATTTTTGTCTGACAGTGAGAACCAGGAAATGGAGACCATTACAGTGAACCCTGTTATATAACATGAAAGTGACTTTAATACTTCTTAATATCCCAAGAGGTTGAACATTTTCTGGATACCACCTTATTCAGCGTGCTCAGGACATGAAGAGATGGGGAGCAAGGAGGTGGAAAGGCGTTCTCCTTATTTCATGGGAGAAACTGAGCCCCAGAGCAAACATGGGAGTCTCCCAAATCATTTGGTCCATTAAAAACGCAGCTTGGATGCCATAGCCAGTAGGTATGTGGTTGGGGCCCAGGAGACATCATCCTCAGAGATGCCTCACCCTCGAGCTTTGGAAGCACCTTTGTCCATGTGTCTCAGCACACCCCGCCCCCCCATGAGCACTCTCTCTGTCCTTTCCCGCATGCCTCCCATCTGCTAGACACTTAGAACTCCATAGTCTTCCTCCTCAATCCCCACCTATCCAAGGTGTGCCACCTGCTACCAACTAGGCATATTAAGCATGTGGCCAGACTGGATTTGGCCCATTATCTCCCTCCCCACCCTCATTCATAGCCTTCAGCCTCTTATGGGGCAATACCCTAGGACCATCTTGGCTCCCAGTACCACCAAACGCAAACAGGATATGAAGGGTACAGGGAAAGCTGGCTAGAGCTGGGGAATTTTGGGAAAAAAAGGAGAAAAAGGGAGAAGGAGGAGACCTCCTCCAGAGCTGCCCATGACTGATTTTCTTTTCCGGTCTCCACCGTGTGAACCAGATTTACACCCCCTTCCTCGCTCTTCCACAATCTCTGGAAGGCCCAGAGCTGTCAGTCACAGTAAGGACAGTGTTGACATGGAGGCTGAGGAGCGCATCCTGCGGCCAGACGTGCATTTGATGGCTGTGGTCTGGGGAATCCATCCTTGGGCCTCAAGGTCCCACTCATCTGCTTTTGGATCACATCTTCACTGCTTTCTAGCTGTGTGTGTTCTTTGGCAGCTCACTTGACCTTCCCAGCCTTGTTTTCCTGACCTGGCAAATAGGGATAATAAAAGCTACTTTGGAAGGTTGTAAGGATCAGAAACCATGGCTCAGTGAAAGCGAGATACTGATGCAGTCTGGGGGAAGAGAGAAGTGCTGGGTGTCCTCTTGAGATCTCTCTAAACATCCTGGGCACCTGTGAGTTCCCAGTGTAAAGGCAAACCAGGAAGGCTCCTTTGAGCCGCTTTCCTGCCAGGCTCAAAGAACACTGTTTGGGGATCCCTCCTCCATCACCGCAGAGGTGGTCTGATTCAGCCAGACTCCCACCTGAGATGGTGGTCCTCACCTCCTGTGTCTAGGTGTGGGCTGTCCTCTGAGGAGGAGGAGAGAGCAGAGCCCGCTACAGTGAAGGAGTGGGGGAGCTCCTGTGACCTGCCACAGGAAGGTTTTTTTGTTTGTTTTGTTTTTTTAAATACCTTATTCATTCATTTGACAGAGATCACAAGTAGTCAGAGAGGCAGGCAGAGAGAGAGGAGGAAGCAGGCTCCCCGCTGAACAGAGAGCCCGATGTGAGGCTCGCTCCCAGGACCCCGGGACCACTACCCGAGCCAAAGGCGAGGCTCCAACCCACTGAGCCACCCAGGCACCCCCACAGGAAGGTTTTTAAATACTCTTCCCATGAGCTTTTGAAAAAATGAGGATCCAGGGAAAGCAGCAACAGCATCTGCTCCATCAACAAGTGAAGTCAAAGCAGCTTCCTCAGACTTAAGGCTCTCATGGTGGAAATCTGGCCAGTCCTAGATGTAGGGCCTAGGGGAGCCTGGGCCAAGGGCAGCTGGGGACGCTTTGAGGACAACATAGGTGAGTTGGGCTCTTGGGGAGAACCCCGGGCACTACAGCGTGGGTAGGGGAGCAGTTCACAGGAAAGGTGCGGGCAGCACCAAGAGGCAGTTCTGGGTTCTGTCACAGACGTAGCTCCCGGAGGGAGTGGGCTGGGGTGCCTGCATGGCCATGGTCCCCACACTAGGGTTTGATGGGGACTAGGCGTAAGGGGAGAGGCAGAACTGGCCTGTGTGGTACTGTGCCAGTGGAGGGATTGACTGTGGGAATGCTGAAGTCTCAGGGGTGTGGGCTGTAGTGGGTCTGTGGTCCTAGGACCTTCTCATGGGTGGTCAGCTGGTTAGTTCAGTTGGCCAGTGCTTGGCTTAGCTCTGTGCTGGAGGCCACGGTCAGCAGCTTAGGGACAACACACACCTTTGATCAGGTCCATTCTTATCCTTCTGGTCCTGTTTGGTACGGTCACTGGTGCTTGTCGCTGATAACTAGGGGAGTGGCTGGATGGGAGAAGGATGACAAAGTAAATCTCCTCTTACCTCTAGTGGGGAAGAATTCTAAAGCATGGTGTTCCTCCTTATCATAAAGACCCCCTGTTTCTCCACCTGACTGCGGTTGCTAGATTTTATCCTGTGCTTATTTTGCAGACTGCTGTTAGTACCTGTTGACAGCCTCTGAGATCCTTTGTGAAAATACTTCTCAGGCCCTCCAGTGGGGCTGCCCTTGGCATGTTGGGGCTGGGGACAGGGCAGGGTGCCCTGCACGGGAGATTGTGGGCAGGCAGAGGGTGACTTAGAGTGTCCTTTCAGTCTACAGCCTGTTCATTGGGCACAAGATAGATGGGAAGGAAGCAGGAGTCAGGCAAGCCTTGAACATGGTCCTGTAGGCCTAGGTGATGGGCAGCCAGGGAGGAGGGGAAGCAAGCTGGTTGTGGGTATGTGAACACACATGGCTTTGCCTTCTCTTCTGGAGGCTGTGGGGGCTACTTTAGTTCATCCAATAATGACGTCAAGTCACTAACGTACAAATTAGAGGAAAGGAGGAGGGGGTCATAGTATTTCTCTTCCTAGAGGAAATTATTTCATTCGTTAGCAGAGCAGTCCTCTGAGCCCTGACTCTTAATCCATCAATGTTTAGAGGTCTACATGGATTTTTCACAGTTTAACCTGTAACTGGTCCTGGACCACAGAGTCAAAGGTCAGGGAAGGGTCGAGACTAGACATAGCCAATCCTGCGCAGTTGCTGACAGCTTTGTCTGCAGTATGAACAGGGGCACCCCAGGGGTCTCAGTGGACCAGCCATACCGTGCTGGTCTTTTCTCTGCCCACAAGTCCTCTGTCTCCACCCTCATGATAACATGATAACATTTCATCTATATCTCTTCCATTTTAAGGAGACCTTTTGTTTTTGTTAGGTTTTGGCCAGTTGGATGTATTATTTTGTGAATTCCTTTGTCAAATCTTTTGCTCTTTGTTCTATGGAGTATTTGCTTTTTCTTATTGATCTGGTAGAATTCCCTTGGCCCCCGTATAGATTACAAGTATTTTCATAGTTTATTGATGGCTAGAATCTTTTAAAAAAAGGGCTTTTGTGTCCATACAGAGATTTTCATTTTTATGCACTGAAGTCTATCAGTGTTTTCCTTTATAATTTCTGCCTCTGACGTGGGCTTCCAAAGGCCTTTCCCACAAAAAAATTATGGAAACATTTATGCATATGTTCTGCAGATTCTTTTATGGTTTCATTTTCTACATTTCCTACATTTAACTCTTTCATCTATCTGGAATTGATGGATCGTGTCTTTGTAAATGGCTTCAAATTCCCTTGGAAGTGGAAGTGATTAATAGAGCAATTAATTCATTAATTAACATGGTGGGGAAGAGAAGCGGTAGAGGAGGAGAGGTTGAGGATACGGGAGAGGGATGGGATAATTAATGGACCAAGGTCTGGGAGAGAAGGAATTGAGTTCTGGGCCAGAGGGTGCATAGGGAATGGCTGTGAGGAAGACTGTGAGCCCAGTGCCCAATCTCCAGTGACTGAGGGGGTGGGGACATGGGGAGGGACAGGGGAGATGGTGTCAATGAGGACCAGTGAATGGTATGAGCCGGATGGCAGGAGCCTAGGGTCGGGGGAGGTTCACAAGTTTATGATTTGTGAGGATTAAGATTGTTCTACCTCACCTTTGAGCCCAGTGGAATCTGGAAGATGACATCCCACTGGACAGGTATCCTGGGCACTTTCATCAGATAAAGTGGCAGGTGGAAGAAACATGCAGAGAAGAGGCTGAGGGTACAAGGGAGTTGGTTTACTGTGGGTGGAGGGGTTCTAGACTCAGGTTACAAGGAAGGGTCTGAGAGGGAGGGGTTGTGAGAAGGAGAGCCTGTCCCCGATCAGTGGAGGGGAACAGAAGCAAGGAAAGTTAAATTAACTCCCTTGGTACAGAGGACCATAGTTCACAAAGCACTTCTCATATGGTTTGCACTTGAACTTCAGAGCAGAGGGGTAATGGAGATTTGCCCAGAGTCAGGTAGGCAGGCACCGGCTGAGTCAGGATGTGAAGCCAAGAGCCCCGACGCCCGGCCCGGATGCCGGTGCCTCCTCCCCTGACCCCAGCATCATCTTTACACACTCAGGGACAGAAGCTTGGGACGGTGCCTAACCATCTTCTTTTCTCTCCTCTCTCTGCAGGACACTAGTCTTCACGGCTGCTTGCTAACCATGAATGGGATGGCCAACGTGAACTCTGCCAGCCGCCCCCACTATACCTCCTCCATCCCTGTGCCTCGAGCTGCTTCCCAGACCAGGATTCATACCCCGGGCGCCTCTCCCCAGCTACGGCCACGCCAGGCCAGCCTGGCCCTGAGCCCCCAGCGTGCAGCCTCACCGAGACTGGGCAAGGCAGGAGGCCTTTCCAGAAACTCCTCTCCTAAGGCCTCCCGGGGGAGAGGCTCCCCGAAGTCTTCTGGGACGGTGAGAGAGTCAGTTGAGGGTGGCGAAGGCCTTTCCAGCTCCCCATGGAGCAGTCCCAGGGCAACCCCCAAAGCAGCCCTCTCCAGCTGGGCTGGGTCCAGAAGAGTTGGAGAGACACAAGGCACCCAGGGAAAGAAGAAGGTGGCTCAAGAAGGGATTCCAGTCCTCCAGAGCCGGGGCAGGAGCCCATCCCGACCAAGCTCTCGCGGAGAAACTCAAATACCAGGGGCTCCTGAAGGTCGAAGACCTCCTAACTACCCAGGAAAGGATCAAAGAGATACAAGCTACAGAAGTTCAGGGGTCCCCAGGTCTTTGGAGCCCGATGCTGGGGCAGTGTCCGGGGCTTCCTCCCCGGGGTGCAGCCCTGTGCAGAGCAAACGCCCCTCCCCCACCCCGGGGGTCATCAGCTTCGCCTCAGCCCACCAACAGAGTCAGCCAGTCACAGCCACAGTGGCCCCCTTCCAGTACAGGTGAGCTGGGGGAGCAGGGGGGTGGGGAAGCAGGGAGGTGTGGAGCAGGGACCCAGCAGCCAGCCTGAAGAGGAGGGGGACCTCAGTCCATCGAGTATATATATCCTTTTTTAAATAAAAGTGTAACTTTACTCAAATGGCCACATTAAATGAACCAGATTCTAATTACTAAGTGTCACACCGTTTAGAAATGCTCAAATGCAAATTAAATACCTCCCAGGCTAGCCTGACTTCCTGGGCTTTTTCTCTGCACTGGTGTGAGGAGAAACCCACTTACATCTGGGGTTTAGAGAAGCTTGTACACCATTCCCAGGACGTGGCCGGTGGCGGGGGCAGCACGCAGGGTGCGGGGGGTGCATTCCTCTGGGGCTGCAGAGCATCTGGGGGGTGGGGGTGGGGAACTGCTAGGAGCTTTCACTTCTAGAAGCCAAGAGTGTGACTCGGTCTCTGAAAAGTTCCAGGCACTCTTACACCACAGACATCCGGGGCCCAGGCCCAGGAAGCCAAGAGTCCCACTCTATTTGCCGTGTGGTCAGGCCTCTTACAGAGTATCACAGTGAAGAACACCACATTTTAAAAGGGCATTGGTGCCCAAAAACACGTTTCAAGAAAGACAAACAGGTTGATGAGGGATCCAAAAAAGGCGTTGGAAGAATGATTAAAGGAGCTGAAGCAGTTTACTTTGGAAAAGGGAGGCTTAGAGAGGGTCTGAGGGCTGTTCTCAAATATTTGAAGAGCTGTCATGTCGTAAGATGAATTAGATTTACTTGGTACTGCTCCAGAGCCCTGAGTCGGTGTCATCGCGGTTAGAAGTCCACCCGAGATAGATTAGAAGCTCAGGAGGAGGAACTTCCCAGCAACCCGAGAGGTTTACAAATGACTGAGGCAGTGAGCTTCCCGTCACGGCAGGAATTCAAGCGGTCTCCTGATCAAAGCGAGTTCTCACTTGGGTGATCCCTGCTCTGGGAGTGTCTCTTCTGCCTGACAGACCGCCCACACAGCCGCCCTTTTGTTCCTTTTCCTAAGGAGCCCCTCCCATCTGTCTGTCTGTCCCTTGTGACCTCCGCTGAGGTTCTCCAGCTGATGAGAGGACTCGGGGAAGCACACATGCAGGGCTGACCTTCTTTTGAATGGCCTTTTCCCCATCAGCACAGTGTTTCCCTGGTGATTTTTTGGCTTTCTTCTCCTACCTGATTTCCTTGTACCTAATGTCCTTCATTTTGAATTCAATCTTCGGGAAAAGAGTCTAGGCATTAAATTGTTTAAGATTTTACATTATCTACCCTACACGTCCCCTGGCAGATTTAGACTCTGACATTTTCCAGAGAGGTCAGAACTTCTTCCTTTGAACATTTCAATGCAGCCTAAATAGAACCACATTTCCCTTACTCCGCAAACATTTATTGCATGTTTTCATTTTAAACAGAAATGGAAATGTGTTGTACCAACCTCAAGGGGCGGTTTTCTTCACCATCCACCTCCTAGACTTTGCCTGTTTCAGGCCCTGAGTTAGGGTTGCAGGGAGGATCATGGTTCGGGCAAGGGTGGATTGGAGGGAAGACAGCCCTAGGTGCTGCTGGCCAGTGGGTGGGAGCCCAGTATACCCTGCGGGGCCTGGAGCTGCTGTCAAGGGTCCCACTGCCAAGGGCCAGGCTGGGCTACCCTTGCAAGGTGCATAGCCAAGGAGGTGCCATCTGCTCTCTAGAAGGCACAGACATCTCTTTTCATGGAAATCTCCTGCACCCCTGTCCCTCCCACTGCCCAGACGTTGGCCTTCTGCAAAGTTCCAGCTGCTCATAGAAGCAGAGGTTATCCTCCTCCCCTCCCTCCTGTCTCCAGCCTGGTCTTGCCCCCTTGCTTCTCCAGGGACCAGATCTATCAGCCATCTCTTTCCCTGCCCTACCCTCCTTAGCCATATTTGTCCACAGGCTCCGGGTGCTGACCTTCCCAAGGAAGCCTGTCTCCTGCCTCGTCTCTGACCCGCCACTGCCTCTCTCTGGTCACCCCTACTCTCTGGACCCCAGAGAAGGCATAAATGCCTCTCAGTTCGCAATCTAGGTTGTCTGCTCTCATACATCTGGTTCCCTCCGATCTTCAACCTGATTCTCCTCTGCTTTTCTGGAAAAGAGCCCCCTACAGCTTCACTGCTCTGGGGCTACATTTTTCCACTTACCAGGTGTTCTCTTTTTCCAGTAGTTTTCTCCTTCCCGCCTCAGGCTGGCCGTCGGTCAGACTTCAGTGAGGAGGGTACAGTCCGTGGGGTCAGGAGGGTAGGCTTATGGTTTTCTTCTACCTGGTTCAACCTCTAACCAACTTCCGGCATAGATGAAACAGTCCATTCGGGCTGGAGAGTGAGGGGAGGCCTGGGGCCCTGGCCTAGTTTGGAGAGGTGGAGGCAGACAGAGATGAGAGTGTAGAAACGACTAAGGTTAGAGACACGGAGGCTGCCTTCCTTGGAGCCCCTGGGCCAGTGCACACCCACTCACCCTGACAGCATAATTATGGCACCAACAAGCATGACAGCAAGCTCTTTGTCTTTCTTTCTTTCTTTCTTTCTTTCTTTCTTTCTTTCTTTCTTTCTTTCTTTTTCTTTTTGTTTCTTTTTTTTTAATAATATCAAGTAAGGCAGCCATTTTTGTGCCTGTGTGGATGGTTGATTCGTATATATAGTTCTATGCAGAAGCAGAGGTTCTTACTTTTTTTTTTAATTTCTTTTTTAAGATTTTATTTATTTATTTGGCACTCAGAGATCACAAGTAGGCAGAGAGGCAGGCAGAGAGAGTGGGGGAAGCAGGCTCCCTGCTGAGCAGAGAGCCCAATGTGGGGCTCGATCCCAGGACCCTGAGATCATGACCTGAGCCGAAGGCAGAGGCTTTAACCCATTGAGCCACCCAGGTGCCCCAAGCTCTTTGTATCTCTAATGCTACTTCTTGCTGTCTGTGCTGGGTCAGGCGGTGCTTAACTCTATGTATATGATGCTACTGAGTGAAACGTGTACATTACCTAGAACTCCCTCTCCCCAGTAGAATGTTCCATTGCTTTCTCACTAGGATGTTGGATCTCTTCACATGCCCAGGTCTATATTCATTTGTTCCAAGAAACCAACCAGCTCCAGTTTTTCTTCCCCCCCTCCCCCACAAGACTCGAACATCAGGCTGGTATTGAATTGGCAGTAGTGGTGAGCGACCCCATCAGACCGACCAGGGCAAGATGAGGTCTCCTGCTTTGTCTACCCCCTACCCTGATCTAGTGCAAGCCCCCAGCTCGAGGGCCTGCAGACACACAGGAGCTCAACACTGCCCGTGTGGCTTAGGGAGAGCCCTGCAGGGGCAGCAAACACTTCACGCGCCCCTGGACTATCAGACTGATCTGGGCCTTGGAAGTCACCTCTTCTACCCATGATGGAAGCGGGACCCAGAGGAGAAGAGGTTTGCTCTACATTACACAGCGAGTTAACAGCAGAGCTGAGCCCGGAGTCCCAGCCATCTGGCTTGAAAAAAAGGAAAAACTGGGGAGAGGAAGACAGTCTCAGTAGCACTGGAGACTCACAGGTCCCCCGGCCCAGCCCCCCTGCCCCAGGACCAGACATCAACTTTCCCTCCTGCCTGCACAGCTCTCCCCTCCCCCTCCTGCCAAGCTGCCAAAGGGTCCATTTAGCTGGAGACAGCGGGCGGACGGGTGGGCGGGCCAGCTCTGAGAGCCCAGGGTAATTGCCTATAATAAAAGCTCCCACAGCCTTTGTTCCTGGGAGCGATTGTACGGTTGGGGTTGTGCTCAGAAGTCTGCGTGCGTTTGGGAGCTGGTGCCCGGAGACCTCACCCTTCCTTCCTGCTGCCACACTGGCCCAGCACGGACTTAGCCTCCCGGGAGTCAATGTGACCTCAGCTGAGCCTGCCCCTCCTCCTTTCCTGACCCCTCACCGCCTGGACTGTGAGCAAGCCCAAGGAGGCCTGCGTGCCCCCTAAGCTCTCATAAGGAGTCAGTGAACTCGGCTTCAGAGGGAGCTCTTCCCTCTCTGTATGAACTTGGCTATATTCTGGGCACAGCCTGGGGGCAGGGACCATGGCAGGGTGCAGGACCCAAGGCCTAGAGTTACTGTGGGTTTCCTTTGTCCTGTGGGCGATTTGTGTTCCTGGGAATGGGTGGAACAGCAAAGGGTGACTGGCATCAGCCACCCTAGTGCCCTCACGAGTTCCCCCGGTGCCCCTACCCCTGGCCCGACTTTGCACAAGTCCTGCTTCCTGCTGAGTGCGCAATGGACGTGTGCTCACCGGGGAAGGCCCAGTCCAGAGGCGGGCGGAGCGCCAGCAGGGGAGAAGAACCGAGCTCCAAGGGGGTTCCCTTAGTCCCTTGGAGAAGCTTTGAGGCCAGGACAGCCTCTGCGATGAGTGACCACCCGTTCTCTGTCCCACAGGCTTCAGACAGACCAGGAGCCCGGCCCCCTCCCTCAGGCTGGCTGGGTCCTTGATGGCTACTCCAGCTGCCCCGGTGGGACTGAGGAGTGCTTCTGCGCAGGTGAGTGTTCTGTGAGGAAAGACTTCCCTCCCGGGGTGGGGAGGCCACCAGGCTAGAAGTCTCCTCACCGCCCCTGTGAAAGAAGTGACCTGACTAAATAGGTCCTTCCCTTCACAACGAGACATACATCGTCCTGCAGATTGTACCTGGAATTTTCGCCACGCTTGCCTCAACCCAGAGTTGGTCCATCAAATCCAGGGGCACGTCGGAGTCAGGAGAGGGAAGTGGCCAGTGGGTGCCCTGTTTATCCAGGGCTCAGGTCCGGGGGTCACCAAAGCCATGACAAAAAAAGTAATGAGCCGGGAGACTAAGAACCAAGAGCCAGGTTCCAAGCAAAGCCCAGATGAACAGCGGAGGCCCCGGGAACCAGCGAGGCAGCTCAGAGCGCTTTGGCTAACTGCCTGACAGCTGCTGCCTCTCCCACCACTGCCACACCTGTCCCTTCCCCTGCGGCACCCTGTAGTCACAGCATGTCACCTGCTGACTGAGCCTCAGGAGCCAGAAAGTGAGGGCTTAGCAAGAAGAGCCCCGAAACTGGAGCTCAGTGATGGTCTGTAGGGGGCAGAGACGCTGTGTGTCCCCAGGCGCATCCTCAGGCCAGTGTCTGGCCCATGGCCGGGGCTCAGCAGGTGTCTCTAAGAGAATGACAGGTGAGCAGATGGGTGAATGCTCGTGTGCCATAGGTCAGGTCTTAGACTGGTCAGATTCTAAACTCTTAGTGGGGTTTAGGTATGTGTGTGTGTTGATTTTCTTGCAACATTAAAAAATACGTAGGGGCGGGACACCTGGGTGGCTCAGTTGGTTGGGCGTCTGCCTTCAGCTCGGGTCATGATCCCAGGGTCCTGGCAAAGCGGGCTCTCCGCTCAACAACAGGTCTGCTTCTCCCTCTGCTTCTGCAATCCCTCTTCCTCTGTGATCACTTTTGCTCTCTCTCAAACAAATAAATAAAATCTTAAAAATATATATACCTTGAGGATGCCTGTGGTACACAGGAGAAGCACTCGGGATTCCACACTGCAGGGCACCGGCTCTGTCCATCCTTTAGTTTCCAAGGGGAGCTTGTCCCAGGAAAAGAATGAGCTTGCTTTGGGCAAACCTGTGATGGTCCAGAGGTTTTGTCTTAGCTTCATGTCCGTGCTTGGCTCTGGTGGGCAAAGCTGCGGTGCACAGCACAGCCTGACCCTGATGTCATTGGACCCTGGTAGGATGCCTTTCCTGCCTTCTTCGTCCCCTCTCTGCAGGTGGTTGGATGTTCCTCTTGGCTGGGGGCTGGGCTCTTTTGAGCCTTCTGCCAGCTTGGGCCCCAGCAGTCGTCTTGGGTCCATTGTGACTCTGAAGACAGAGCAGCAGCACTCCCTCCATGGCAAGCCTTGTAGAGGAGGTTTATAGGGGTAGAGACTGGGCATCTAGAAAGGAAACCATTGCCTCCCACCATAAGTACACCCACAGAGGAACCAGGGCATGGTGGGGGACAAAGGAAACCAAATGTCACTGGCACCGAAAAGCCATCAGAACTAGAATGTGGTAACCAGGAAACTATGCAGAGCTCTATTTTTACATTTGCAGTTTTGTTAGTGTAATGGCTTCCTTATGTGTATGCCACATTGTTGGAGTCTAATGCTCTCCACCTAACCAGGCACTCGTTCATAATCATTATCCGATGAGTTGGAGAGAGGACGTGGGACTTTCAGCATCTGCACAGCCTGGCTTTTGGAATACCCCAGGCTCAACAGCTGGAAGACCATCCTTACCAGCCAGTTCTGAGCATGTCCGAGAGATCCCAGCTTGGGTTCCTCCGTGAGGCGGAGTGCCGGTGGACCTTTGGAGGTGGTGAGAAAAGGGAGAAGCCCTTGCTTCTTCCAAGGCTCCTGGAGAAGAGGAACAAGGTTCTCAGCGCTGCCTCTGCTTGGCCACTCCCTCGTCATCACAGCGATCCGTGTTCATCAAGGCGATCCGTGTTCATCAAGGCGATCCGTGTTCATCAAGGATACGCCAAGCATTTTGATGGGTTGGATGGCCGGAGAGATTTGGGGTCTGCTTGTGCTTTGTAGGGGAGCCTGCACTCTGAGCCTGAAGAAAAAGAGATGAGAAGAGAGATGATGGCAGGCTTCCATTTTATGCCCTGCTCCCCTACCTCTGAACTCCACTCAGACCACGACACAATTCATTCATTCATTTCTTCTTTCATTCAGTCAACAAACCATCCATGAGTGTTTGCCTTGTGCCAAACACTGTGTTCAGCATTAAGGGAAAAGATAAATGAGGGGCACCTGGCTGGCTCAGTCAGGGGGGCATGCTACTCTTGGTCTTGGGGTCATGAGTTCAAGCCCCACATGGAGCATGGAGCCCACTTTAAAAAAAAAATAATAAAAATTTAAAAATGGCATTCACGTTTAAAAAAACCAGAGATGAATAAGACTCTGACCTGTTTTCAAGGAGTTCATAGTCTGGAGAATTCACTCCAGTGAGCCTGACCCAGGGGCAGGTAAGAATTCTACCACTGAACCACCCTTGCAAGCCCGACCCAGAGGATCGGTTGGCAGTGACCTGCCCTTGTCGGAGCTGATCGGGCAGCCCAGTCAGTCCCGCCCCTCATGAGGCCCTGCAGCATGAGGAGGACCCTGGTGTTATGCCCCCTGATTTGTAGAAGGATATTTGGGTGCCCTGGGTAACAGAATACCCTGTCCTGTATTGGTGTCATCCACAGAACCCAGCACAGTTACTGACCATGTGATTCCCATATAATTTGTAGACAACAGGGGGCGGGTCTGCTTGCTTCTGTAGCTCAGACATCCTTCCTTCTTGTTTGTGAATCCATCTTGCTCCCTGTGACCTGGCTTCGTGCCCACTGATCAGTGTCTGGTGAAATGGTGAACTGAGGCGGTGAATAAGGCACCGAAGGTCAGGGCGCGTGGCGTCATTGATCCTCTGGGGGCCTCCTTCTTGCTGGCTGATGAGGAACAACCAGCCGTTCTTCGGATCTCTTCCCAGGATGGTCCTCTCAGGCATCTGGGTGGACAGAAGGGCCTTGAGGGGAGCAGGGAAGACTAAGACCTTCTCAGTCTTGTACTACTTTTCTTACTTACTCTGCCTGGGGCTGGAGTCCCAGTGAAGTGGGATAAGCTTTGTAGAGCAGGAAGAGAACGTCCCACGTTCTCTTGACTTGCTACCACACAGCGGTGTTGGGATTTGGCCTTCCCGTGTCGCAGAGATGTTCTGCCCCTGGCCCCTGAGTATTTGCATGTGCCACTCTCAGCTAGCTTGGCTGTGCCGGTGAGGGCCCCGTGCTGGTCCCGTCGGCCAACACTCCCCTTGGTTGCCACCATCAGATCTTAATTCAGAAAGCCAAAGGAAGTGCTGACATTTCTGCGTGCCCATATGTGAGGCTGTGTGCAGGAGGACTGGGAAAGGTCGCCCCAAGGGTGACACAGATTCCTTAATTACTTCCACTTTGCGGCATGTTTGAATGAGCGCTAAGTGGACACATAATGAAGGGATCTTCTCGCATCATAACATGTGTCGCTGGGGAACGAGCCAGAGCTGCCTCCCTGCCTTGCTTTTCACACAAGGGTTGATATATATAGAATAGGAGGGGCAAGTAGAGTTTGGCCTCATGCTGGAGTTGTTTTGTTTTTCTTCTTCTTTCTTCTCCCTTGTCGAGCCGACTCCATCTTTAAGCCAGAATTAAGTTTTTCGTGTTTTGTGGATTTGGCATCAGGGATAGAGTCCCCCTACTGAGAAGACTTGCAAACCCGGTGTGCCCTCCGCTGGGGCAAGAGAGGTCTGGCCACTGCCCTCTCTGGGAGAGGAATTTGTTCTGGGCTCTTAGGCAGCTCCAGTACAGTGGGGCAAGGCCCTCGTCTGGCTCTTCGGGAGCTCCAGGCCAAATCCAAGCATCCCAGGGCTACCAATGACTTGGAACATCCATGAACACCGGAAGTCAAAGATCTCATGAATGTTACACATCATCCGCGTATGGTCTCATTTTCCATGGGGAGAGATGCGGCTCAGAGAGAAACAGACTTGTTCACGACTGCCTGGTTCATTAGCAGGGCTGCTGAAGCCAGGATCCCTGCCTTCTGATGTCCCGAACAGTAAAATGACCAACGGAAACCATGACTACCCATTTACTGAACACCTACTAGGTGCAGGGTTCAGTGCTCGATCTTCCCATAAGTCCTTCATAAGCACCTTGTGCAGCCCTTGGCTGGTGGTAGTGTTATTCTGTGGGATAGATGAGGAAGCTCTAGCTCAGAGAAGTTACATGAACTAGCTTTCTGGGGACACACAGCTAGGGGACTGTGTCAGGATTTGAATCCAGGCTTGTCAAAATGTCGTGCCTTCCAACCTTCCAGCATTACTCGCCTGCCTGCCTGTTGCTGCCAGTACTCACTGGGCCATTGGCACACTGTCTCCCTTAACCTCCGCCAAATGGTGGGGAAGGAAACAGGGTCAGTGAGCCACAGTCTTGCTGACATCTTCCTCACCGTGAGCAAGCCCTGGGATGTCGCTGGCCTTTCTGTCATCCCAAACCTGTGTCATTTCATGCTGAGTTCACACTGTCGTGTTCCCTGCCCTCTGGGGACTTTCAAGCTGAGCTGAGCCTGATGTCCCAGCCATCCGTGGAGAGGGGACGTGCAGACAATTGACTAGAAAACACAGAGCAAGTTCAGGGGCAATGCTATTAGCTCTCCTGTCAGGGCTCAGGCTGCTCCATGCCGCTGTGGGCCAGAGGAAGCTCGGGAGTTCGGTGGTCTCTGGAGGCCCGGTTTGGATAAACAGGGTGGCCGTCTGGGACCATGTTGACTTCTAGGAGCTGGGAGGGGAGGTAATCATTATACTGCAGAATGGTGGCTAACACTTGCTGTGGCTTCCTCTGAATCAGGCACCGCCAATAAGCACCTTCAGTCCTTGTCACAACCGTGTGAGAGTTGGAACAACTCCCCAGCTTCATATTCTAGCTTTACCACTTGCTAGCTGGGCAGCCTTGGGTAAATGAT